GGATCATCCTTATGCCTCCACTTCTTGCCTTCAAACAACCGCCAAACCTTAAACAGACCATTGTTCGCAGCAAACTACCCAGCCTTCAGGACAACATCGACCACAACACCATAAAACCCTGTCTTGGTAACCACTGCAAGACATTGTCAGATCATCAACATGGACACTACCATCACACGTGGGAACACCACCCAGCACATGCATGGCGGATACTCATGTGACTCAGCCAACGGTGTCTATCCCATACGCTGCAGGCAAGGATGCCCCAAGGGATGGTACATTGGCGAAACCATGCAGACGTTACGACAATGCAACAATCGCCAGACAGGGATGTTCCCTCCCAGTGGGGGAACACTTCAGTGGTCAAGGATATTCGGCTTTCGATCTTTGGGTGAGCGTTCTCCAAGATGGATTTCAAGATGCACAACAACACAGAGTCACTGAGCAGAGACAGATAGCTTAGTTCTGTACCCATGAAGACGGCCTCAACTGTGATCTTGGGTTCATGTCACGTTACAGTTGACCCTCCCCCGCAATGCTGTTCTGTATCTGTAAAATCTTCCTTCCTGTCCTGTTTTGACACCATCACCTTGATAACTTGTTATGATCTCTCCACCTTAATTAGTTTGTACAGTTTTGAATTTAGCATGTGATTCCAGTCATTTAGTTTGTCTCCGGTACCACCTTATTTTTAATTTTTTGTAATTACCTCTCTGTCTCACTTAATCAGATTATAGGTCATTCCCTTCACTGATTATTCAGCTGTTGACACTTTATTCACCTTCTAACATTCTTGGTCACCTGTAGGGACTCATTATCTGACACTCACACCAGTTGTTATGATCTTTTGATCTCTCTGTCCTTGATCTCTCTGCCTATAAACTCTGTGTCTGTGTGCTCCAATCTCTCGCTGCACCTGACGAAGGGGCTGCGTTCCGAAAGCTTGTGTGATTTCAAATAAACCTGTTGGACAATTACCTGGTGTCGTGTGATGTCTGACTTCATCCTAACTTGGAAATACATCACCATTCCTTCAGAGCCAGTGGGTCAAAGTCCTGGAACTCTCTTTCAACCATTGTTGTGGATATACCTAAATTTTATGGACTGCAACAGTTCAAGGAAATGGCTCACAACCATCTTCTGAAGAAAGGATGGACAATAAATTCTCCCCGTGTCTGCGTGGGTTTCCTCCGGGTGCTCCACTTTCCTCCCACAGTCCAAAGATGTGCAGGCTAGGAGAATTGGCCATGCTAAATTGCCCGGAGTGTTCAGGGATATGTAGATTAGGTGGGTTATAGGGGGATGGGTCTGGGTGGGATGCTCTCAGGGTCAGTGTGGACTTGTTGGGCCGAAGGGCCTGTTTCCACACTGTAGGGATTCTATGATAAATTCAGGGCTTTCCAGTGATCCTTACTGTCCATTACTAAGTTGAAAATAAACACCCTAGGTGATGAACCTGTTTTCTATGAAATGGTCAGGATAGAATCAGTTCTGATTAAGGATTTTTAAAATTTGTTGATGGAATTTGGGCATCACTGGCTTAATCAGCATTTAATGATCATCCCTAGCTGCCCTTGAGGAGATGTTGATGAGCTATCTTCTTGAAGTTCTGCAGTCCATTTGGTGTAGGTAGCCCCCTCCCCAACAATGCCGTTAGGGAGGGAGCTCCAGGACTCTCATGATTTCGGCCTGGTCTCTTTAGGGAAGGTAATGAGCTATTTCCGTAGACTTTGAAAGCAGATCATCCTCTGGCCCTTTCTTCTGGTGGCCAGGGGCCTAAAGAGACAACGTAACACAAGCAAACAATCAGGGAGGGGAAGTCACATTAAAATGAAAATGATCTACTATTCTGTAAATTATTATTGATCTGACAGAATAAGTCACTCCCCAGAGTCATTCAGGCCTTTCCAGTTCAATTTTTGGGAAAACTCTCAGAGCTAATGATTTAAACCATAAACCACTCTGTTTTGATTATAGATTTCAAGCATCATGTCTTCAATCCACACGTGTAAACATTAAATTACATATCAGATATCCCACAGTGAATTCCAATCATGAATACAAATAGAGCCTGTGTGGTAGTAGAAGACTAACCATAGAGTCATACAGCACAGAAATAGGCCCTTCAGCCCAGCTCATCCATGCCAACCAGGTTTCCTAAACTCAACTAGTCCAATTTGGCCCATATCCCTCTAAACCTTTCCTATCTTTGTACCTGTCCAAATGTCCCTGCCTCTACCACTTCCTCTGAAAGCTTGTTCCATAATGCTAATTCGGCAATTCTAACAAGCCTTCATCCCTGCGGCATGCACCTTATGTTTGTATAATTTAAACGGACTGAGACACTAAACCTGTATGCCACGTCTGTAATTGTTAACTCATGGCCTGCTGCTTGTCCTGTTTCCACTCCTTAATCAGGTAAGATCAAACCAAAGGTTTGTCAAGCTCTTTCTTTTCTCTACTCCAATGACAGTGTTTTACATGAAGTTTAACCCTCTTTAGAGCAGTGATGCTCTTTTTTTTGTAAATAATCCATCACACTGGCCATTCGAATGTCTCTCTGAATGAAACTATCCAGTTAGTGTCTGTTTGTGGACAGTGTGTGTCCACATGGAGTTGTCACAGGGCTGTTTAGACATCTTCCTTTTGGATCATTAGTGGATTTAGGAGGAGAAAAATTTGGGTTAAAAATTGCTTAGGCACATCAGTGGGACTGGGATCACAATGTGCGATTACTGCACATCTAATGGAAGTGCAACAAGCTCCTACTGTCTATTCACATTCATCATTGCCCCATGTAGCCTAGTGTTAAACAGGCTGCTGTGTGGTTTTGTTGGCAGCAGGAGTATATGTTCATGTGAGGTTTGTTATGTATACTGTCTTTAGGGCCTTCCTTGGTCCAGTCTGCGTGAAGGTAGTCGCTTTAGGTTTAGGTCTGTCTCCAGCCATATCCTATTTTATTCTCCCATCAGGTCAATGACTTTATGATAGTGGGCGCTACTTATTGAATTCAATTAACATATTCAGACACATATACAGCATCTCCGCCTAAGCTTTCTTTTTCTGATAACCATTTTTGTTACACATTTGTTTATATAATTATATTTACCACTAACCCATCTCTCCCCAGATACATGGGAACACCATCACCTTCAAATGCCCCTCCTAGCCACTGACCAACCAGACTTGGAAATATATCACTATTCCTTCAGTGTTGTCAGGTCAAAATTCTGGAAATCCCTTCCTGACAGGACTGTGGGTGTAACCTTTGTATATGGACTGCAGCAATTCAAGAAGGCAGCTCACCACCACCTTCTGAAGGACAATTAGGGATAGGCTGGTCCAGCCAGTGAATTCCATGAATGAATGAAAAAGAGTTACCTCAAGATGCTGCAGCAAACTCACTCACATTCTTCAGTCTCTCTTGCACGATGTAGCAGGAGATAGCAGCAAAGAACCCATTGGGAACAGGGACAGCTACATCTGCTGAGGTCACTGAAGGATGCAGTGCTATGAACTATTGGCATGGCAGTGATTCAGGCTGCTACATTGCTGCAGTCATAGCATCATAGAGTCTTTGAGATGTATAGCATGAAAACAAACCCTTCGGTCTAACTTGTCCATGCCGACCAGATATCCTAAACTGATCTAGTCCCATTTGCCAGCATTTGGCCCATATCCCTCTAAACCCTTGCTATTCATGTATCCATCCAGATGTCTTTTACATGTTTTAATTGTACCAGCCTCCACCACCTCCTCTGGCAGCTCATTCCACACACGCACCACCCTCTGTGTCATAAAGGTGATCCCTTAGGTCCCTTTTAAATCTTTCCCCTCTCACATTAAACCTATGCTCTCTCGTTTTTGATTCCCCTACCCTGGAGAAAAGACCTTCGCTATTCACCCTATCCATCATAATTTTATAAACCTCTATAAGGTCATTTGGAGACTGAAGGAGTATCTCATAAACCCAGACTGTTTAGCCTCTTCCTATAGCTCAAACCCTCCAACCCTTGAAACATCTTTGGGCCTGTCTTATGTACCTTCCTAAATCTTGCTTAGTTTTTTTTTTAATTCACTCATGGGATATGTTGAGTAACTCACCTCCCATATCCCCAAAGCTTGCTCACCATCTATAAGGCCCAAGTCAGGAGCGTGCCTGCCTCTTCGCCATTTTCCTAGATGAGTGCAGTTCCAACAACACTCAAGAAATTTGACACTAGCCATGACAAAATAGCATGTTTGATCAGTGCAATATTTACCAACTCAAGCTTTAGTTTAGAGAAACAGGAGTAGGCCATTCAGCCTGTCCAGTCTGCTCCAAAATTCAATTAGATCATGGCTAATTACCTAACTCAGTGCCACTTTCCTGCACTATCTCCAAATCCTTTATGTTATTAGTGTTTAGAAATCTATCAACTTATCTATCTTCTTCATTGATTAAGCTTTGCAGTCTGCTGGGTTAGCGAATGCCACTGCATGAAGAAATTCCTCATCGCAGTCTAAAATGACCTACCCTTATCCTGAGATCGTGTTCCCTGGTTCCAGAGTCACCTGCCAGGGAAAAGGTTTTATCTACATCCAACTATCACACACTGTAAGAACTTTGAAGGTTTGAATTTAAGCGCATCTCATTCTTCTCAACTCGAGTGAATTCACACCCGGTTTTCTTAATCTCTCCTCATCTAACAATCATCCCAGGATAAGTCTGGTGAAACTCTGTTGCACTCCCACTCTGACAAGTATATCCTTTCTTAGATAAGGAAACCAAACCTTTACACAATATTCAAGGTATAATCTCACTAAGGCTCCATGCAACTGCAACAAGATATCTTCTACCATCACATTACCTTGCGATGAAGGCAAACATATCACTTGCCTTCTTTATTGAGTGTTCCTCAGCATGTTTAAACTCAATTAATGTCTAGAATTAAATGTTCGTCTAATGAATAATGAGCATGAAACTACCAGATTGTCATAAAAACCTGTCTGGTTTTACAGTGATGGTAATATAATGGTGAGTTTAACTGCCTTCCAAGCAGTTGGCCCAGGTTCGATCCCTGGCCATCACAAGATCAGAATTTATGATCGTCACAGTAACGGAGTGATTAGCACTGCTACCTTGCAACGCCAGGGACCTTGGTTCGACTTCACCCTCGGGTGTTTGTCTGTGTGGAGTGTGGTTTTCCTCTGGGTGCTCCGGTTCCCTCCCACAGTCCAAAGATGTGCAGGTTAGGTGGGTTAGCCATGGGAAATGTAAGGTTACAGGGATAGGGTGAGAGTTTGGGATGTTTTTTGGACAGTCAGTGCAGACCCAAATGGCCTCTTTCCGCACTTAGGGACTGTCTGGTTCACCAATGTCCTTTGGAGAAGGAAATCTGCTGCTTTAATTAAGTCTAGCCTACATGTAACTCCAGGCGCAAAGCAATGTGGTTGACTCTTAATTGCCCTCTGAAATAGCCCAGCAGGTTGCTTGGTTGCCCTAAACTACTACATCAAAGCACTCTGAGTACATCTACACCTCATGGTCTCCAGAGGTTCGGGAAAATGGCTCACCGCTATCCTTGCAAGGACAACTGGGGATGGATGACCCTGGCATCCTTAGAGTGAATAGAAAACAATTGTGCAAGCTATCAGTGGCTCAGAGACAGCTCCCTCAACCAAATATAGGAACTAGGAGCAGGAGTAGGCTATTCAGGCCCACGAGCCTGCTCTGCCATTCAATACGATTGTGGCTGATCTCATCTCAGTCTCTACTACACTTTACTGCCCACTCTCCATCACACTTTAATCTGTTGCTAATTAAAAATCTATCTATCCACATTTACTCAGAGTCCCAGCATCCTCCGCACTCTGGGGTAGTCAATTCCAACAATTCAAGACCCTTTGAGAGAATTAATTTCTTCTGCTCATCTGTTTTAAATCTACCACCCCTTATCCTGAAACTATGGCCTTTTATTCTAGATTGCCCCACAAGGGGAAACATCTGCTTTAACCCTGATTTATCAATCCCCTTCAGCATTTCATGTACTTTGCCCACAAACTACAGTTTGTCTGACATGCTCCGGGCAGGTGGTTGGTGGGGTGAAGGAGAAGGTCAGTGTACTGTGGTGCCAGGAGAAATCCTTCATCCTCAGAGACATTTTTTTTTTACAATTACATATTGGTGGTAGTCTAAGGATGTGCTGGCCACTGAAAAGCACTTCACCTTCTCCGTGTCTCTCAGCAATGTAATGGCCTGAAACAACAGCCGTGACAACTTGCATTTATGTAGCACCTTTTATGCGGGGAAATGTCCCAAAACACTTCACAGGAGCATTTGCAAACAAAATTTTGACACATATGGAAATATTAGGTCCCATGATCAAAAGCTTGGTCAAAGAGCAGGGTTTGAGGAAGGAAGAGGGGAGGGAGGGAATGAGGTTTATGGAGGGAATGCAGGAGATGAAGCCACCAGCAGCAGAAGGCTTGATGCCAAATGTTGAAATGATGTTAAAGAGAATGCTCAAGGGGCCAGAACTGAAGGAACGTGGTTATTGCAGAAGTATGTGGAGCTGGAGATAGAGAAAGCAGACATTAGACTCCCGATTTGCAGATACTTATTGCAATTTACTGCAATTCAAGAGCAATTTCTATTCCCCATCCTCTGGCTGCTAATCTAATCTCATCAAGTGGAGGTGCCAGTGTTGGACTGGGGTGGACAAGGTCAGAAGTCACGCGACACCAGGTTATAGTCCAACAGGTTTATTTGAAGTCACAAGCTTTCAGAGGTGGCAAAGGAGCAGTGCTCTGAAAGCTTATGATTTCAAATAAACTTGTTGGACTATAACCTGGTGTCATGTGACTTCTGACCTAATTTCTTCAGCAATATGTTAGTAAGTACATTGGATCCTTCCAACTCCAGACAAGTTAAGTTTCGTTAATGTAGCTTAGACATTTTAGGCTTCTAGTCTTGATGGTTCACTTGCTGGATGACTACATTGGGCTGAATTTTCTCATCTCAGGGGATGAATTTTTGGGGCTTTTGTGGAGATGGATTTGGAGGGAATCTTACTTCCCCCTTTCTTGTCACCTCAGCAAATAAGGGCCAAGCGAATAGATCCTTTGGAGACTTTCTCAGCTTGGCAGAAAATAAGGCCATTAAGCAATCAATTGATGATTCTGGCCGTTCTGCTATCAGAAGGGTACGGTTAAACCAGAAAGGGTGCAGAAAAAATTTACAAGTAGCCAGGACTGGAGGGTTTGAGTTATAAGGAGAAGCTAGATAAGCTGGAACATTTTCTCCCTAGAGTGTCAGAGGCTGAGGGTTGACCTTGTAGAGGTTTTTAAAATCACAAGGGGCATAGATAAGGTAAATAGCCAAGGTCTTTTTCCCAGGTTAGGGGAGTCCAAAACTAGACAGAAAAGGTTTAAGGAATCTTTGACTCCAATTATAACCTCATTCTACCTCTGACCTGATCATCTACCTTCCAACAGGTGAGAAAAGTGGCTGTCTTCCCAACTTGCCTGATGGATTGTTGGGATCTTATTTGGCCCCAATATGTGGGGCTTGGAGCTGGGCCTCTGAAAGCTATACCTCTGATACCTCCTCTCCCAGTGACTACCAGCAGTGAGAAACAAAGACACAACAAACAAAGACTTACCCTCTCACTGTTGGATCCTCTGGAGACTAGGCTTTAATCAACAGTCTTTAGGATCTAAAACTGTTGACCTCTGATTGGTCAGTGGTATTATTTTACCTCTGAGCTAGGAGACATAGGTTCAAGTCCCAACTGCTCCAGGTGTGTCATAATTTCTCTGAACAGGTAAGTACTAAAATAAGGAGTAGAATTCCAAAGTGGGTGCAGAGGCTGAGAGATGTATTTGGGCGCAGATCACTAAATGTGGCAGGATAGGTAGAGAGAGCGGTAACTAAAGCAAATCTGAGAATCATGGCTGGTACTTTTCAGACCTTCCCCAGATGAGACATCTGAGAACAAGAACTCATTGCGCACTCTGTGTCCCTCATGAGGAGCAGTTAATGACATTGGGTCTGTACTCGATGGAGTTTAGAAGGGTGAGGGGGAGATATAGAGTCATAGAGTCATACAGCATGGAATCAGACACTTCAGTCCAACCAATCCATGCCGAACATTATCCCAAACTAAACAATTCCCACCCGCCTGCTCCTGGCCCATATCCCTCCAAATCTTTCCTATTCATGTAATTATTCAAATGTCTTTTAAATGTTGTAATTGTATCGCCATCCAGCACTTCCTTAGGAAGTTCATTCCACAGGCGAACTACCCTCTGTGTAAAAATTTGCCCCATGTCTTTTTTAAATCTCTCTCTTCTTACAGAATACTGAGAGGCCCAGATAGAGTGGACAGGGAGAACATGTTTCACTAGTAGGAAGAATTAGGGCCTGAGGGCACAGCTTCAGAGTGAAGGGATGGAGAAATCTCTTCAACTAGAGGGTGATTAATCTGCGGAACTCATTGCTGCAGATGGCTATGGAAGCCAAGTCATTGAGTCCATTAAGATAGAGATACATAGGTTCATGATTAATAAGGGGATCAAGATTTTTGAGGAGAAGGCAAAAGAATGAGATTGAGAAATGTTTCAGCCATGATCGAATGGTGGAGCAGACTCAATGGGCCGAATGACCTAATTCTGCTCCTATATCTTATGGTCTAAACAGTGAAAGTTAAAAGACGATTTGATTATGAAATCGCAGCTGCACCAATCACACCCTCTTTCAATGCCTACACTTTGTTTCCCAGCTGAGGGCCGCTGGTATTTATTAATTGTGGAAGTTCTTGCTGCTTTATTTCTCTTCACACCCAGCCTCCTGTGTACTGATACCTCTACCAGCACATGACCTGAAATCGCTAACTGAGCAAAGAGGTTCATCTTCATGGCTCAGTTCATGACAATCTGGAAAGTGCATTCAAGCACTTGGAAGCATTCTTGATGCTAGTTAAAATTACTCATAAAACAACTCTATCACAACTTTATCACACCCATTGAGCATTTTCATGACTTGTAATTTCATTTTGACTCCCACCTTCAGTCTCCCTTAAATTTTATCCTTCTGTTTTCTGTCCCCTTTCATGGCCCCCCATCCTCTTAGCTTTCTTGTTTTAATTTGTTTTTCCAAATGTCTTTTCATTGCCTTGCTGACTTAATCTTCAATTTCATCAAACAATCTGATTTTCTTCTTAAAAAGGTTGTAAGTTATTCTTCAATTTTCTCCATGTGATTGAAGTAACTGATTATATTTTCTCCGACCCATTTCTTCCTTCAATTGTCCAGTTTACTTGTTCTCAGTTTTCTGTGGTGGTGCCGACAACAGCCTCAGGTCAGAAGTTTATGGACTCCAGCTGACTTCAGAGAACTAAACACATACGCACCGCTGACAATTCCAGGGCAATAATAAGGGAGAGCTGCATTGTTGGAGGACTCATCACATCCTTGCAACATGAAACCTCATGTATGAGTGTCAAAAGTCCAAGGGCACATATTGAGAAAGAAAGATTTGTGCTTATAGATATTTTTAATCAACTTGTTCAGGCATGTTTGGACAAAGAAATTGAATCCAAACCTTCTAGACTAGAGTCAGCGACACAACCACTGCACCACATGAGCCCTGACTTATGTTTATACAGTTTTTTACTATTTGATTTATTGTAGTCACACGTACCTAAGTACAGTAAAAAAAACTTTGTTTGTGAGCAGTACAAGCAGATCATAGCAAAGAAGGGCATACAGATCATAGAGACAGAGCAAGGCATACGGGTTACACTGCACAGGAGGTGCACACAGCTAGATCAATATTATTTGAAGTTAGACAGTCCATTCATCAGTCTAATAACAGCAGGGTAGAAGCTGTTCTTGAACCTGTTGGCGCATGTTCAAGCTTCTGTATCTTCTGCCCAATGGAAGAGGTTGTAGGAGAGCATTGCCGGGGTGGGAGGGGTCTTTGATGATGTTGGCAGCCTTTCCACGACAACGGGAAATGTAAATGGAGTCCATGGATGGGAGGTTGGCTTTCGTGATGGTCTGGGCTGTGCATACAACCCTCTATAGCTTC